AATTTGGGTGCAAGGACACACTGGATGCCTTTGCTGTCATTTTGGCATAGCTGGGCATCACGTGTATCCCTGTACCTTTAAGAAGGGATGGGCTCCTCCAGGCACACCTGCCCTTAACCTATCCATTGATACATGTGCTCCTACTATGGAGGCTTTGGAAATTTTAGTTAGGTCCACAGTATACAGAGGACCCTTGATGCGGGATTGCGGCTTACGCATGTATTTGCAAATGTGTGCAAACAAAACCTTCTGTTTTGAACACATTCTGTTAGATAGAGCCAAACTGGTTGTTTTGCAGACTGGTTGGTAAGTGTTGCTGGGAAATCCTCTGTTTGTTTGCATTGTACTTTTGGACTCATCACTTTTTTTTTTAAGGGGATTGCCTAAATTTAAAGCCATTGTAAAGTTTTTTTTTACAATTCTTTTGCATTAAGGTAAAAAAACTTTTATGTGCAGTTTGCAGTTCCCCCTGCAGCCCCCATAAATACTTACCTGAGCCCAATCTTGATCCAGCACTGTGCCTGAGAGCAGCGGTACTACTCTCTCTCACTCCTCACTCTTGATGCTGCCAATCAAATCCAGTGATGAGGGAGCCGGGGGTGGGACCAAGCCACACTGTATGTGGCACGTGTGCCACCATAGGAAGCATCTTCCTATGGTAGCACACAGAGAAGAGGAGGTGCCCATAGCACTGGTGGGCAACCCTAGAAGAAGAGGATCGAGGCTGCGCTATGCAGTATTGCACAAAGCAGGTAAGTATAACATGGTTGTTGTATAAAGAAAAACATAAAAAAAAACTTTACAATCACTTTGGTAGCTATAGTAATAAGGGGGATAAATGTGTGGTTCTCTGATGCGCACTTTACATTAGTGTCAAGTATACAGTGACAAGCTGCAAACAAAAAGCATCTTTGCCTGTGTCAACAGCTACACTGTGCACTTCCGTGCCCTATCAACAGAAAATAAAATATACCCACCCAAAAAAAAAACAGTGAATCACCAAACCCCAACACATTTTTAGATAAATGTGAAATAAATGAAAAAAAAAAGCACATCGCCACTGGACTCTAGAGCAGTGGAGACGTGTTCTCTGGAGTGACCAATCACACTTCTCTGTCTGGAAATCCGATGGATGTGTCTGCATTTGGCGGTTGCCAGGAGAACGATACTTGCCTGACTGCATTGTACCAAGCGTAAAGTTTGGTGGAGGGGTATTATGGTGTTGGGTTGTTTTCAGGGGGTGGACTTAGCCCCTTAATTCCAGTAAAGAAAACTCTTAAGGTGCCAGCATACAAGACATTTTGGACAATTTCATTCTCCCAACTTTGTGAGAATAGTTTGGGGATGGCCCCTTCCTGCTCCAACATGACTGTGCACCTGCGCACAAAGCAAGGTCCTAAAGACATGGATGAGAGAGTTTGGGGTGGAGGAACTTGACTGGCTTGTACAGAGTCCTGACCTCAACCCGATAGAACACCTTTGGAATGCATTAGAGCGGAGACTGTGAGCCAGGCCTTCTCATCCGACATCAGTGCCTGACCTCACTGCGTTTGTGATCCATTTGGGGTGTTAGGATTGCACTGACACTCGCTGCAGATCGCAAGGGCAGTGCAGGAATTAGTGTGACCCTAGGCTAAAGTTGCTGTAAACCCTAAACAACTAAACATTTAGTTTGCTAAATGTGCACCATAAACTGCCATTTTATTTTATTTTTTTATAAATTACTTGATTTTTAATGTTTTTTTTCACATCCTTCCATCCATTGTTGCATCTTTGTGCATTTTTTAGGGTAGGTAAAGCTGCAAATTTTAAAATATTAAAAAAGATTTTTGAAATTTCATTAACATATTCGCTGCAACAAGGCTTTTATGAGATTTTAGTGCCTGAGTTTACATATACTCTGAAATCTAAACAGATATGCCAAGAATTTGAGGGAAAAAAAGTCTATAAAAAGGTTCCTCGCAGTGAAGCCGTATTAGAATGATCATTAGATCCTATTATATAGACTGCTAATACAGTTGCAAGAAGAAGTATGTGAACCCCTTGGGATTACATGGACTTTTGCATGAATTGGGCATAAAATGTGCTCTGAACGTCATCTAAGTCACAACAATAGAAGAACACAGTCTGCTGAACATAATACTACACAAACATTAGATGTTGCCATGGTTTAATTGCACATAACATGTAAACATTCACAGTGCAGGGAGGAAAAAGTATGTGAACCTTTGGACTTAATAACTGGTTGACCCTCCTTTGTCAGCAATAACCTCAACCAAACGTTTCCTGTAGTTGCATCTAATGTTTGTATAGTATTATGTTCAGCAGACTGTGTTCTTCTATTGTTGTGACTTAGATGACGTTCAGAGCACATTTTATGCCCAATTCATGCAAAACTCCACGTAATCCCAAGGGGTTCACATACTTCTTCTTGCAACTGTATGATATTGAAATCTTGATTTTTTTTCCTGAAAAAGTCAAGCTAGACTTTGCCACCTCTTCTTGCCCAAGTAATGTTTGGTTTCCCATCACATGAAAAGGGGTGCCTGAAGTTAAGAAGTTGTTGAGCCATAAACAGGTGCCTGGAGGCAAGAAAATAATGGGTCATAAAGGGTGCATGGAGCCAAGACATTGTTGAGCCATAAACAGGTGCCTGGTGTGAAGAAATTGTTGAACCATAAAAGGGTACATTAAGCAAGAAGTCGTTAAGCCATAAACAGGTACCTGGAGGCAAGAAGTTGCTGAGCCATAAAGGGGTGCCTGGGTGCAAGAAATTGTTGGGCCATAAAGGGGTGCATGGAGGCAAGACATTGTTGAGCCATAAACAGGTGCCTGGAGTCAAGAAGTTCTTGGGTTATAAAGGCATGCATGGAGGCAAGAAGTTCTTGGGCTATAAAGCCGTGCATGGAGGCAAGAAGTTGTTGGGCCATAAAGGCGTGCATGGAGGCAAGACGTTGTTGGGCCATAAAGGGGTGCATGCAGGCAAGAAGTTGTTGGGCCATAAAAGGGTGCATGCAGACAAGAAGTTGTTGGGCCATAAAGGGGTGCATGGAGGCAAGAAGTTGTTGGGCCATAAAAGCGTGCATGGAGGCAAGAAGTTGTTGGGCCATAAAGGGGTGCATGGAGGCAAGAAGTTGTTGGGCCATAAGGGGTGCATGGAGGCAAGAAGTTGTTGGGCCATAAAGGCGTGCATGGAGGCAAGAAGTTGTTGGGCCATAAAGATGTGCATGGAGGCAAGACGTTGTTGGGCCATAAAGGCAAGCATGGAGGCAAGACGTTGTTGGGCCATAAAGGCAAGCATGGAGGCAAGAAGTTGTTGGGCCATAAAGGCAAGCATGGAGGCAAGACGTTGTTGGGCCATAAAGGCAAGCATGGAGGCAAGAAGTTGTTGGGCCATAAAGGCAAGCATGGAGGCAAGAAGTTGTTGGGCCATAAAGGCAAGCATGGAGGCAAGACGTTGTTGGGCCATAAAGGCAAGCATGGAGGCAAGAAGTTGTTGGGCCATGCTTGACTTTTAAAAGAAAATCTGAGATCTCCATATTATTTTAGTTATCCATACATTTGGATCTCTTGATTGTTTTGATATGAGATTTTCACTAAAGGTAACTGTGGTCATGCATTTCATCATCATATGCTCTGTTTGAATTAGACAATAATCGTATATACTGTATATTGTAGTTCACTAATCTTTAAATGTCGTGGCTGCATTTGTTTTCTTTTTAGTTATTTTTCCTGTATTTTCACCTGGTTATCTAGCCAGTAATACATCTTAGGAGGAGAATGTAGCCACCCTTGGACAGCAGCCAAACTCCAGCTAACACTTTCAGCAGTTACAAAATCATTTTTTTTTTTTTTAGGATAAAGGTTTTAAATGAATAAAAGCTGATCATTGTAAGCACCTCTGTCAGTGTTAACTGATTTGTTTCAAGCCTCTATTTGCCAAAAAGAAAACCTAATAAAAACTATGGTTTGGTAAGTTGCAATTAATTAAATGTTTGGTTTTGAGTTTAGATATGCTTTAATATACAGAATTTCCCTACAGCAAAGCACAGACTGGTAGAGAGAAGCAGCACAAAGGGCCTATTAGATGTGTTGCAGTGCCCATGTGCATATGGACCGTTGTGAAATTCCTTTCACACTGGGTGCTTCCTTAATGTGGTTTCATTGGCTAAAAAGTATCTAAACCCAAAAATAAAAATATAACATATGGCTGTTGTGGTGGCTGCCTTAGATTTCATTATTCAATCTAAGAAAATTTTAAGCAAGGGCAGAGACCTGTTGGTCTTGCCAGAAATACTGTGTCCTTGTCACTTCCTGTGAGATGAACCAGAAGCATAAAACAATGTTATCTTCCTTCTGTAATCTACTAATCTCCCAATACCCTATAGAAATGAACAAAGGCATGTTTGAAGTCCAGTCTGGGTGACAACAATGGCTTCCTCCCTTGTTACCCTGGAGGAGTGAGTGTAGCCATCTAGGATCAGGTAGTATACTATTCACAGGATTACCAGGTGAAAATAAAGAAGAAAAAGCCCAAAAAAGTAATCTAGCCACTACACCTAAGGACTGGTAGGTGCAAACAAGGGGCATGCTGACTGGAGAAGAGAGCAGAGTGACAGGAAGGGATGAGCTCATCAGTGTGTGGCTTCTCCTTTCTCTGCCCAGTCTCTGGCTGTGGGCAAGGACAAGGCCTAGTTGTATTACTTAACTGCAGCAGAAAAAGTCTCCAGGCTGGCAATGCTGTCTGTCGGGGTAAATCTCAAGAATTCAAATTCTTTGGCCGGCAAAACAGCTTCTATAAATGTATTTTATCTGTGTACTCAACTGTTGCTTGGCGTTTAAGGTTTGAACAACAAGTCATTGTATTGGCCCCTTACTATCTGTATACCACAGCCTTATAGATCAGTGGCCTCTTTTTTTTTTTTTTGCTTTGGGGCACTATTCCTCCCACTGACAATACTGGGGCATAATTCCTCCTACTGACAACCAGTGATGGGGCACTATTCCTCCCACTGACACCAGTGATGGGGCACTATTCCTCCCACTGACACCAGTGATGGGGCACTATTCCTCCCACTGACACCAGTGATGGGGCACTATTCCTCCCACTGACACCAGTGATGGGGCACTATTCCTCCCACTGACACCAATGATGGGGCACTATTCCTCCCACTGACACCAGTGATGGGGCACTATTCCTCCCACTGACACCAGTGATGGGGCACTATTCCTTCCACTGACACCAATGACTGGCCACTATTCCTTCAACTGACACCAATTATGGGGCACTATTCCTCCCACTGACACCATTGATGGGGCACTATACCTTCAGCTGACATTAACGACTGGCCACTATTCCTTCAACTGTCACCAATTATGGGGCACTATTCCTTCCACTGACACCAATGATGGGGCTCTATTCTTCTTACTGGCACCAACGATTGGGCACTATTCCTTTCACTGACACTTATAATGTGGCGCTATTCCTGACACCAACGACTGGCCACTATTCCTTCCACTGCCAACAATGGGACAGTATTCCTTTCACTGACATCAAAATTTGGTCACTATTCCTCCCACTGATGGGAATAATGGGGCACTATTCCTCCCACTGACACCAATAATGGGACACTATTCCTTCCACTGACACCAATGATGGGGCACTATTCCTTCCACTGATACTAATGATGGGGCACTATTCCTCCCACTTACACCAATTATGGGGCACTATTCCTCCCACTGACAATATCGGGGCATAATTCCTCCCACTGACACCAGTGATGGGGCACTATTCCTCTCACTGGCACCATTGATGGGGCACTATTCCTTCCACTGACACTAACAACTAGCCACCATTCCTTCAACTGACACCAATTATGGGGCACTATTCCTTCCACTGACACTAATGATGGGGCTCTATTCTTCTTACTGGCACCAACGATTGGGCACTATTCCTTTCACTGACACTTATAATGTGGCGCTATTCCTGACACCAACGACTGGCCACTATTCCTTCCACTGCCACCAACAATGGGACAGTATTCCTTTCACTGACATCAAAATTTGGTCACTATTCCTCCCACTGATGGCAATAATAGGGCACTATTCCTCCCACGTACACCAATTATGGGGCACTATTCCTCCCACTGACAATATCGGGGCATAATTCCTCCCACTGACACCAGTGATGGGGCACTATTCCTCTCACTGGCACCATTGATGGGGCACTATTCCTCTCACTGGCACCATTGATGGGGCACTATTCCTTCCACTGACACTAACAACTAGCCACCATTCCTTCAACTGACACCAATTATGGGGCACTATTCCTTCCACTGACACTAATGATGGGGCTCTATTCTTCTTACTGGCACCAACGATTGGGCACTATTCCTTTCACTGCCACTAATAATGGGGTGCTATTCCGGACACCAACGACTGGCCACTATTCCTTCCACTGACACCAATAAAGGGACAGTATTCCTTTCACTGACATCAATAATTGGTCACTATTCCTCCCACTGATGGCAATAATGGGGCACTATTCCTCCCACTGACACCAATAATGGGACACTATTCCTTCCACTGATACTAATGATGGTGCACTATTCATCCTACCAATACCAATAATGGGACACTATTCCTTCCACTGATACTAATGATGTGGCACTATTCCTCCCACTGATACCAATAATGGGACACTATTCCTTCCACTGACACCAATGATGGGGCACTATTCCTTCCACTGACACCAATGATGGGGCACTATTACTTCCACTGACACCAATCATGGGGCACTATTCCTCCCACTTACACCAATAATGGGACACTATTCCTACCACTGATACCAATGATAAGGCATTATTCCTCCCACTGACAATACTGGGGCATATTTCCTCCCACTGACACCAACGATTGGGCACTATTCCTTTCACTGACACTAATAATGGGGTGCTATTCCTGACACCAACAACTGGCCACTATTCCTTCCACTGACACCAACAAAGGGACAGTATTCCTTTCACTGACATCAATAATTGGTCACTATTCCTCCCACTGATGGCAATAATGGGGCACTATTCCTCCCACTGACACCAAAAATGGGACACTATTCCTTCCACTGATACTAATGATGGTGCACTATTCATCCTACTAATACCAATAATGGGACACTATTCCTTCCACTGACACTAATGATGGGGCACTATTCCTTCCACTGACACCAATGATGGGGCACTATTCCTTCCACTGATACCAATGATGGGGCACTATTCCTCCCACTGACAATACTGGGGCATAATTCCTCCCACTAACACCAGTGATGGGGCACTATTCCTTCCACTGACACCAATGATGGGGCACTATTCCTCTCGCTTACACCAATGATGGGGCACTATTCCTTCCACTGACACCAGTGATGAGGAATTATTCCTTCCACTGACACCAATGATGGGGCACTATTCCTCTCACTTACACCAATGATGGGGCACTATTCCTCCCACCTATGCCAATGATGGGGTGCTATTGCCACCAGGTCATTTTCTACTCAGATTGGCAACAATCCGTCCCCCTCAGAGTCTGAAGGACAGTAAACTGGGAAGTTCAGGAAGTTTGGAGACTACTGTTATAGAGTATAAGAAGAAACCTGCTTTGCATTCACACTGGCCCTGATAGATAAGGCTGCCCAAAGTAAACTCAGCATAACCTGATGGCAATACAAAGGCAAAAAAAAAATCACCAGACCTGCTTCCTCCAAGGTGATCTATACATTGACCCCTATGCAGACATAGTTCATATATGCTTGAAACAGACCTGGCAGACCTTTACGTTGCAAACTATAGGCACACCCAGAGCAATGACACCCAGAGCAATGACACCCAGAGCAATGGGCATAGCAGGAACAGAAAAAAAGCCACATGTGCAGAATTTATATACCTACGCTTATTGTCACGTTGTGCTTATCAAGAGTGCTATTTAGAGTTCACGCATTGTCCACAAACACAAGATTAATTCCTGTACAGTGCGCAATATGCACATAAAGCAACTTGACCCTATCAATTTACATACATTATGGGTAACCGCTATCTCACCAGCACCAGCAAACAGCCTCTCTTATCTCCCAGAGTCCCTCATTTGTAATTTCTTGCTGAGTCCACCCACTGTCATTATTTCTGTAATTCTCTTCAATAATAGACCCTACCCTAATAAAAGCTGAATTGCAAAAGGGTTATGTGCCTGACCCAAAGGAGATTAGCTCTCTTCTCCCTTATTACTACATCTGTAACTCTATAATTGATTTTAGAGTTCATTTTTTCCATATTCCGGCACCAGGTCGTAAATAGGTTATTGTGGGGAAATGCTATAGATTACACCGAGCAGTTTTATATTTTCACATATACAACATCAAAACGTTGGCCATAGTAAGGGCAGGAGATTTAGAGTGATCAGTTTCATTTGTAAAGTTAATTAACAAAAAAATAACAAAGGGGGTTAATAAAAGGGGAAATATGTTTTGTAGTAATTACGTCTTGCTGGGCACATGCAAAGTGTATCAGTCACATGGCCATAGCCAACGACACTGCATGGACATAAGAGGGATACATATGGACCCCGTGTAAAATTCCTTCCACATTGGGCGCTTTCTTAGTGTGGGATTAATGCCTAAAGTGTATCTAAACCCAAAAAAACAAAAATAATAACATATTACAGCTTACCAGTCCTTAGATGTGGTAACTGCATTCGCTTTCATTCTTCAAGCTAAGAACATTTTTAGCAAGTACAGAAGAACGGTCCAGCCTAGGTGACAACCATGGCTTCCTCCATTGGCACAGTGGAGGAGTGAATGTAGCTACTACATGACAGGTAGTGTGCTATTCACAGGTTCACTAGGGAAAAATCTGTCCGGCTGTCTCATAATCTATCCACTTTTAGACGATCCCTGAAAACCTTTCTCTTTAAAGAAGTCTATCCTGCTTCTAACTAGTAAACTGCCATTCATTTCCTCCATCAGCTCATCCCCCACAGCTATTACCTTTTGTATCCCTCAACCCTTCCTCCATGATTGAAAGCTCTAACGAGCTGGGCCCTCTGTTTCCTCTTGTACCAAATTGTATTGGAACTGTAATGTCTGCCTTCATTTTGTAAAGTGCTGCTCAAACTGTTGGCGCTATATAAATCCTGTATAATAATAATAATAATTTTTTAAAAAAGCCTTAAAAAAAAGTAATGCAGCCACTACATCTAAGGACTGGTAATCCGCAATATAATACTTGTTTGTGTTTGGATTAGATATGTTTTTAGGGGTTAAAGGAGGTGCATGACATCTCCTGGACTTATGTCTGTTATTTATATCTGACAGGTTTATTGCTCTACCGGAGCATACACGGACAACCAGAGCTGTGAGAGAGGAGAGAGGGGCACACAGTACAGCTCCGCCCACCCCTCCCTTCTGCTGCCCAATCGAGAAGCCTTTGTATTTTGTCAATGTGTTCACATAATACAAAGGCTTCTATGATCCAGCAGGAGGAGGAGAGAGGCAGGCATAGCTGGTGCACTGACTCTTAGGCTCCATGTACACTGGACACTTCTGAACGATGGAAACTGACTGCTGGAAAACATAGGTTAAAAAAAAAGTCTGTTTAACTGCGTTTGCATACCGAGTTTATGAGCGTTTGCGTTTAAAAGCTTTTTTTTAAAGATAACCTCAGGAGACCTTCCAAAATGCCCAGAATGCACTGAAAAACAGTAAAAAATTAACTATTTCAGACATTTTAAGAGAAATAGAGAGAGCAGAAGCAGAGAGAGCAGTATTTGTTAAGATTAGCTGTCTTTTATTTTTGTGGTGTTTGGATGTGTTCCAGCTCATTTCTGTGCAGAAATTATTGCAGCAGTGCCTAACATATTTTCTTTCATGTGAAACCTCAAAGTATGGTGTACCGGGTCCATTTGAGTACCGGGAAAACGCTTTGCATGCATTTTTCATGATGAAAAAAGGCTCTGGACAGCATCTGGAAATGAAAGAATTTAAAAAATGTTCCAAACGCAAACGCTTATAAACGTGGTTAGCTGCATTTTAGCAGTGTTTACGAGCTTTTACAAGCATTTGGCATTTGAAGCGCTGATAAAATCTACTCCTGAACGCAAGTTTGGTGCGTTAAAAAAATGACTGTAAACTCAACTGCCTGTAAACGACAATGTGTACATGGACACATAGGAAAACATTAGGGAGAGTTCAGGGGCTGCTGAAAAAAATGCAGAAAAGCTCCTAAACGTGAGTTTATCAGCTGCAGTGTACATGGAGCCTAATGCTTAAGATGCTTAGACGTGAAGCATCTGCGACGAGCTCCCAGAAGTACAGCGAGAGCCATCTTCTACAAAGCAATAAAACTGTCAGATGTAAATAATAGGGATAAACCCAGGAGGTGTCATACATCTCTTTGGACTAACAGTGATACTAAAGGTACATATACCATATTTTTAAAAAAAATAACAAACATGTCCCGCTTACCTGCTCTGTGCAATGGTTTTGCAAGTAGCAGCTCTGATCCTCCTCTTCTCGGGTCTCACGCCAGCACTTCTGGCCCCTCCCCCCACTGAGTGCCCCCAGAACAAGATGCTCATACTTGCTCACTCCCAAGCAGCCTTTGTGTGTCTATCACACACAGGGATTTTGAAATCCTATCGCCCAACACCTGGGACATGCAGTTCCGGTCATCGGGCAAGAAGTTGTTTTTATACTTTTATGCATGTTGAGGGCAAGCAGTAGGGTTTAGAGCCAATGGTCGGCTCTTGTAAAAAGTGATCCAAGAGGCTCCAGGGATGAGGGGAGGGGGGTCATCCCCTTCCACTGCCTTCTGTAGGCTGTCTGGACATCTTTGGAACCCCCCTCCCACTTGGTGGTCCAGTCCCACCCACCCCACTGCTCATTAGCGGCCAGTCAGAGCCAGGTGTTCTTCGTGTACAGCAGCTCTCCTTAAGAACGCAATTAGGGCTGGCGGCCATACAGAGAACACCTGGCTCTGACTGGCAGCGCTCTCCACCAATGGGTAGCGGGGGGGGCAGGACTGGACCAGCAGGAGGTGGGATTTTTCTTTTTTATATAAATATATTAACCACCTTCCGCCCGCCCTATAGTACAAAGATGGGCGCAAGGTGGTTCTCTCGTTCTGATAGGACGTCATATGATGTCCTACCATTCTCACTGCACATGCGTGGCTCAGGGAGTGCGCAGCGCGGCAATAACGGAAAGAGCCGAAGATGTCGGCTCGGTCATGTGATCAGCTGTGTCCAATCACAGCTGATCACGTGTAAACATGGAAATGTCGGTTATCGGCATTTCTCTCCTCTCGAGCTATTACGCTGACAGCTCGAGAGGAGAGCCGGTAATCGGCTTTCCACGGAGAGGACATGTACACTGATCATCAGGGCACTGATGATCAGTGTGCCCTGATGATCAGTGTGGCCCCAGAAGTGCCACCTGTCAGTGCCCATCAGTGCCACGTGCCAGTGCCCATCAGTGCCACATCAATGCCACATATCAGTGCATACCAGTGCACATCAATGCCACATATCAGTGCCCATCTGGGCTGCCTTTCTATGTCACCCATCAGTGCCAGTCAGTGCCACCTATCAATGCCAATCAGTGCTGCCAGTCAGTGCCGCCTATCTGTGCCAGTCAGTGATGCCTAACAGTGCCAGTCAGTGCCGCCTATCAGTGCCAGTCAGTGCTGCCTATCAGTGCCGCCTATCAGTGCCATATATCACTTTCATGTATCAGTGCTGCCTTTCACTGCCCATCAGTGATGCCTGTCAATGCCCATCAGTGCAACCTACCAGTGCCTCCTCATCAGTGCCACCTATCAGTATCCATCAGTGCAACCTATCAGTGCCCATCACTGCAGCCTCATTAGCGCACATCAGTGAAGTCGAAAAATCACTTATTTACAAAATTGTATAACAAAAACTAAGAAAAAAAATTTTTTTTTTCAAAATTTTCAGTGGTTTTTGGTTTGTTTAAGAAAAAAATAAAAAACCCAGAGTTGATTAAATACCACCAAAATAAAGCTCTATCTGTCTCAAAAAAATGCAAGAATGTACAATGTTGCATGACCGCGCAATTGTCATTCAAAGTGTGACAGCGCTGAAAGCTGGAAATTGGCCTGGGCAGGAAGGGGGTATAAGTGCCCTGTAGGCTAGTGGTTAAGAATATAAATAGAAAATCTAAATACATTATTTATTGTTGTAGGAATTATATGATTACAGTTATCTGCAGAATATTTTATACATTTATTTATTTGTTTGTTTTTTTAATTTATATATCTTCTATTTTTTATTTTTAATTTTGTATTTTATTAGATTTTTTAAAATGATTATTAATGTTATTATACAGGATTTATATAGCACCAACAGTTTGCACAGCGCTTTACAATAAAGAGAAACAGTACAATTACAATACATTTCAGTACAGAAGGAATAGGAGGGCCCGGCTCATGGAGCTTACAATCTAAAGGAAGGGGGAGGTGATACAAAAGGTGATAGCTGCAGGGGATGATCTGGTGGAGGTGATTCAAGTACAGTTCTTAGGTAGAGGTGGGGTAGGCTTCCCTGAAGAAGTGAGTTTTCAAAGATCGCCTAAAGGCAGACAGGGTGGGGGCTGACTGGACATGCTGTGGTAGGGAGTTCCAGAGGATGGGAGAGGCTGTGGAGAAGTCCTGGAGGCGAGTGTGGGTGAAGGTGATGAGGGAGCTAGAGAGGAGGATATCATGGGAGGAGCAGAGTGGGCGATTTGTGTGGTATCTATTGATGAGGTTGGTGATGTAGCTAGGGGCAGTGTTGTGGATGGCTTTGTAAGCTGTGGTTCGTATTTTGAATTTTATAATTTTAAAATTAATCTTGTTGTTTATTATTGATTGTTATCTGCAGATATTTTTATGTATTATATTATTTTTTATTGATTTTTGTTTTTGTAATATATCTCTTTCAGGGCAGAGGAGGGATTTGAGGTCTTATTGATCCCAGATCTCTCCATAAAGAGTACCTATCACTGCCTATTGCTGTCACAAGGGATGTTTACATTCCTTGTGACACCAATAAAAGCAATTTAAAAAAAATTAAAGTGACAGTGTCAAAATATATAAATTATTAATTAAAAAAAAACATGTTAAGGCACCCCTGTCCTCTGTGCTCATGCACAAAAACGAATGCATGTGTTAATCCCGCATACAACGATTGTCACACACACACGTGCGGTATCACCGTGCACGTCAGATCAAGGGCAGCAATTCTAGCACCAGACCTCCTCTGTAAATCTAAAGTGGTATTCTGTAAAAGTTTTTAAAGCATCACCTATGGATAGTAAAATTTACGCCATTTTGTTTCCATTGCATAGGAGTGTGCAATTTTAAAGCGTGACATGTTTGGTATCTATTTACTTGGCGTAACATCAACTTTTATATTTTACCAAAAAAATTCTGTTATGTATTGTGTTTTTTTTTTTTTCAGTAAAATTTCAAAAATTGTATTTAAAAAAAATTGTGTTTGAAAAACCACTGTGCAAATGCCGTGTGACATAAAAAAAATGTCAAAACCCACCAATTAGTTCTTTAGGGCCTCTGCTTTAAAAAAAAAAAATGTTTGGGAGTTCTAAGACATTTTCTAGCAAAAAATTAAAAAAACATTAAAAGTTTAAGTCACCATACAGCCCCTTTCATTTTTAAAAGCACCCCTGACTAAAAAAAAAAAAAAAAAAAACATTTCCATTCTGGGAATTTTTTTTTTTTTTTATCAGGACAAGTAGATTGTCACGAGGGACAAGTAGATTGGGGGCCGGTTCACACTATAGAAATGCAGTCCAGATGCGGTTTTTATGTATTCCAGTTCATTTTTTTCTTAAGGTCTGGTTCACTGTATAGAAACATTGTCCAAATGCGTTTGTTTTTGCATGCAGGTTTTGATGCATTTTTGGCGCATTCCAGTGCGTTTTTGACGCGTTCCAGTGCATTTTTTAAGCATTCCAGTTAATTTTTTCTTTCTCTTTTTCTTCAATTTAAATAGGGGCATGTGCATTCCAGTGTGTTTTGGTGCATTTTGATGCATTTTACCGCTTTCCAGTTCATTTCTGTGCAGAAAAAATGCAGCCTGTTCTACTTTTTTTTCTGCATGCGGAACACACTGGAACTGCATGTACTGATGTGAACTATGACATTGACAACCATTTAACCTATTTTCTGTGCATTTTTGTATGCAGAAAAAAAGTGTAAATCAGGCCTGAAGCATAACTGGAACTGGAATGCATAAAAACTGCACTGGAAAACATCAAAAACACATCTGGACTGCGTTTATATAGTGTGAACCGGCCCTAAGATCTTTGGACGCAGTTTTTTAAAAAATTCCGACCCCTGCACACACACAGAGCTGCTTGGCCCTGCCCCCATGCCCTCTTCATTGGCTGTGATTGCCAGCTGCAGGAGCCATTGGTTGCATCTCAGCCAATGAGGAGGAAGAGACACGGGAGAGCTGGTGCTTTTGTGCACAGCGCTGGATCACAACGGGCTCAGGTGAGTATGGGGGGGAGCCTATACAACCACTTTAATTCATAGTGTGCCTTCACTTTTTACGAAGGAACTAAATTCCTGGAATTCAGCTTTAAAAATCTTGTCCACCAATTTTTTTGTTTGTTTGTTTGTTTGTTTTTTTTTTTGTTTGGGATTAAAGTGATTCTAAGGGTTCTATCACAATGAAAATGTAACCTTTAGTATTACTTTAACCACCTCAATACTGGGCACTTTCACCCCCCTTCCTGTCCAGGCCAATTTTCCGCTTTCAGCGCTGTCACACTTTGAATGACAATTGCACAGTCATGCCACACTGTAGCCATATGAAATTTTTATCATTTTTTCACACAAATAGAGCTTTTTTTGGTGGTAATTAATTACCACTGAGTTTTTATTTTTTTGCTAAAAAAATAAAAATGCTTCTACTATTTTTTTTATTTTTTATTACATTTTTTCTTTTTTTTACTGTTTTATTTTTCAGCAAACTTTGACCAAAGCAATACAATGTTACCATTCAGGATTTTTTTTTTAACACATTATGATTGCTAATACCAATGTATCTCATTGATATTTGCAATCTTTGTTACTGAATGAAATTGATTCATTCAGTCTTGTGTTTTGATTAGCTGTGATTGGGCAAAGCTGATCACATGATACAGATGGGCTGTGATTGGCCCTATCTGTATCATGTGACTGCCTTGACCAATCACAGCTAACAATATAATTGTATACAATGGATGGCATGACAGGAAGCCATCCATTGTATAGAATTGACACGCGATCTGCTGTAATTGGTCACAGTGGTCACATGACACTGCCAACGGGCCGGTGTAGTGATATGTCATCGGCTGTGTCCTGTGTACAGAGCCGGTGACAGATCGCACCCCTGCATGGCCCCGCGGCCACTTGAGCGGCTCTTTTTGACAGGACGTCATAAGACGCCCACTCGCCCAGTCACAATGGCGAGTGTCCCGCCCAGCCGTCAATCTGCTATAGTCAGGGCGGGAAAGTGTTAAGGTCACATTTAAGGGTTACGTTTCCAGTGGGGCTGTGTTTTTTTTTTGTTAGAGTAAAGCAGAGTTCCACTTACCTGTCAAAAAATAAAAGTCAGCAGCTACAAAAACTGTAGCTGCTGACTTTTAAAAAACAGTCACTTACCTGTCCCTCGGTCCCCGTGGTGTGTCCCCCGCAGCCCGTTTTACCGGCTGTGTTCCAGGAGGCCGGCATCTTCAGTGTGAGCACCTAAAGACTACAAGGAGGGAGGGAGGACACCTTCTGCTTCCAATCACCTAGGCGATCAGACCAGACGTGGGAGCGGGTATCTGTCAAATTCTGGTACCTGCTCCCCCCCGCCCCCCAAAGGTGCCAATACTTAATGGGGAGCGGGGGGGGGAACAGTCCTTAAAGCGGAACTTTTACGTCTCCCCTTTTGGGTGGAGCTCCGCTTTAAGTTTTAGTAAAAAGATTCAGCCTGTGACTGGACAGTGAAAAGAGAAGTAGCACAGTAATGAGTGGATTTCTCTATCACTCTACACTCTCCTCCCCTCGACATGCTTCTTGTCAGTACGTGAACTAACTGACTTCGTTGTACCAAGCTGTACGGGGACTGCAAGATGCTGATACCAGGTTAAGTCAGGTAATTCCATTGCTTGCATTTAAAAAGTACATTTAACAAGCTATTAATGGTCACAGAGCTGCATTACGTTGAGTCTGCCTCCAGTTCAGCTTTAAATATGTCTGCCTATTAAATTGAGATAGACTTCTAGTGCTGTTTATAGAACCGGTTGGGTCAAGGTCCTTTTCAGGTCAGATCCCCAGAAGCTGACTTTACTATGAGCTCAAACAATCCAAAGGTTAAGCTTTACACCAAGAGGAAGTCAATACATGTAGCTGTTGCTTTGGTACGCAATCTCCACATGATCTTTTTCCCAATGTAGATTAATTAAGTGTTATCAATTAATGGTCTGTTTAAAGTAAAGATCTATCTGTTCTGTGCTTGAATTGGGTGTCAGTTTAAACAAGACCTCGGAGGAGGGAGGAGGTCACCTCTAGATTGTACAATTTAGATTTTACAGGGGACTGAAGACAATAACATCCTCACATCAGAAAAAGGACACAATTGGCAATGTGAATTTTTTTGC